CTTCGATCTCCTGTTGAGTTCGTAGGTGTTCAGAATGGTTTGATCCCTATCCAGCTGAATTCCTGAGACCAGATGAAATCCAGGTCTCGTACTCCTCCGCCATCTTGCTCCGCCCTCCTATGGCTCCAATTTTTGACATACTTTATTACCTGGCTCTCCAACAATGTCACTACAACCGTGTCTGCAGATAGGCTCAGAGTCTACTCAGTGTGAGGCACTTGAAAGCAGGGTCTGGGTATCTCATTTAGATTTCCATTCTCCGTGTCATTCCTCTGTGAACACTTAACAGTCTGAGCCCTGTTTATCGGCTTGGTCATTCCAAACACTTTAAACATTCTAGAAATTCCTTGAATGTACCAGGCTGTCCTCTTGGCCTAAATGCCCTGTTTTTGTCTGCTTGGTCATATCTTCGTTTCTAACATCATCCTCCCTGATCCTCTGATAACACTGTTTAGTCACTGGTCTTTGTACTCAGCTACAAGCACTGTTTGCGTATTTGTCTCCATCACTAAACCACCTTCTGTGCCACCTCAGTGCCTGCCACGCTCTATGCCTTCCACAGCTATTGGTTGGATGAACCAGTGACTAACCTTCTACAAACGGCAGGTGGGTGTCCCATAGCATCACCATGTGGGCTTTGGCATCTAAGAGAAAGCGAGGGGGAAATGTGAAGGAAAGGGACAGGGTGGGAGTGAAATTCTACCCACAACTGACAAGAGTACCATGGCCCAAGTGTAACTTAATAGAAACCATTCACCCACCTTTCCTTTGTTGCAAGCAGAGTTATCAGCTTTCTTTATCCTCTTGGGGATTTCTTCATTATACTCGAACTGAAGCTTGTCATTACATGATTTATTTTCAGGTCTGTCTTCTAGAATGTTGTCTGAAAATAAGTGGGCAGGCTTTAGCAAACAAGAACCTGATGTTTCACTTAAGAGCTATGTCTATATCATTGCAAGGATATCCAGACGCTCGTGCTTATCTGTTAAGATTGAGGCTCTGGCTACATGTTACCAAAAGGATGGTTTGGAGTATAATTTTTTAAAATTTGTTAAATCTGGTCAATGATGTATTTATTTTGGATTGAATGGACTCATTTACCAGTAGTTTTGGTACCCTACAGACATAATCTAAATGAGAAGGCTCATGTCCATACAGATCATTAAAGGACCCCGCAAACCTTACTTTAGACACACATGTGTCAGAAGCCTCAGTACACAAGTCTGGGGAGGACTTAGTGGTAGAAGCACTTCTAGATGGCGCATACAGGAGTTAATCACTCTCACTTTAAAATGAAGCTATTAGCTTCTTTTACCTCTGGAAATGTCAAAACCTGGGGAAAAAAGATACTGTTATTTGCAATGCAGTTTTCATGATTCTACTTAATTGGAAAGTAAAGTTTTCATAATTGTTTATGAATTTATTAGGAGAAAACCTTGAGGATAGAAATTAACATATATCTAACAATAGCTAAAGCATGACAAATAATCTTACACTTTGGTCTTGTTTTGGTATTTCTATTCACAATGACTTTAAAGGTGTTAGAGGTACAACACAGTTATGCTCTTTTAAAATGAAAAATAAGAAAGCTCTCATTTTTCACTCAAGGTTCACGCTCTCATCAGACCATAAATGCTTAGACCAAAATATCCTTATACCAAATAAGGGCCACGCAGGCTGCCAAGAAGTAAATGAGATCAATCATTTTATTACATTTTTACTCATGTAAGTATCATGACTTCATCATGCTAATAAGGCCTACGATATTGGACACAGAATGCCGACATTCATGCAGTTAAAATGCCCACTTCAAATGGCTTTACCTTCCTGACTGTTAGGAGCAGGAGAAGCAGTAAGGACATCTGCTATAGAAAAACAGAATCAGAAAGGAGATAAAAGTAAGGAAAATTAAGACAAAAAGCCAGATAAATTAAACTAAGGTATGAAGCAAAGCATAAATAACAATAGCTTAGATTGTAAAATAAATGAAAGAAATCCTCTATTGATTTAATATTTTGACTGTTAGGGATGCAAGGGCTAGCAATAAAAGAAATGCAAACATTGTTAATGTTAATCATACTGCCACATTCACATTACATATTTTCAGTTACTGACTGTCATAACATTCCCAGTAATGCACTATGTCACAGACATGGATTAATTTTTTTTAAAGATTTTATTTATTTATTTGAGAGAGAGAATGAGAGAGAGAGAGAGAGAGCACAAGAGGCGGGAGTGGGAGAGGGAGAGGGAGAAGCAGACCCCCCGCTGAGCAGGGAGCCCGATGCAGGACTCGATCCCGGGACTCCAGGATCATGACTTGAGCCGAAGGTAGTCGCTTAACCAACTGAGCCACCCAGGCACCCAGACATAGATTAATTTGTTAGAATCATGCAGTCACTGTCATAGAATGTCTGTATTAAGTTGCAAGTTCAAATCTGTACTCTACTGCTTGTTCAAAGCTAATCAAGATAAACAGCAAGGTTGGAAGAAAATTAATCTATATTTAGTTAATGGAATTTAATTAAATAAATATTCATGAAGGACTAATTGGCCAAAAGGCAGAGTAGGGATTCCTGAAACACATGGGCCTCATTTGCAACTTCCTTTAGATCTTCTGGAATTAACTTTGTGGTTAGGAATCATCACATTTTTATAGCTCAAAGAGGCTTTAGACTAATTCTCTCATTTTATAGACATGATAACTGAGGACCAGAGCTGTCACAGAGATAAAGTGGGCCACCCAGATTCGACAGATGAGCTCTTCATCTGGGACGTCTGTGAGGGCCTCAGAAGGCCAGCCACACTCCTGCAACTGTATGCAGAATTTTGAGAGCACATTTATTTCTCTGAGGGGACTGGTCACAGCTTCTACTTCTCCTTCTCAAAGGGACCCATCATTACAAGAAGCTGAGAAACTTTTGAGGTCCCCCTATGAAGCTCCAAATGGTTCTATCCATAGCAGGCAGGTGTTCATTTCCCTCTCATCTTAGCTAGAGGATGTGAAGCTGGTAGAGGGATTGCACAGAGGTGAGGGAGGCACCACACAAACCACGACCAAGACTGGAAGATTGACAGGGCATTTAGCAGTAGCATAAGGAAGCCTCAACACTACTAGCTTAAACTAGTCATGGTAAAACTACAAGGCCTGTTTGGGAATCAGCCAGTCGGAGGAATCTGTCAATGAAATGGGAAATACCCATGTGGGGGCAGTGGCCTTCAGCTGTCATAGATCTTAGGTGTTAGTGCTAGAAGAAGGGAGAATACCAGCCAACACTGAACAGAACCTTCTCATTACACATCTGAGGGTCATAAGGCCTAGAGTGGAGATAGGACATTGACCCAATGTCTCATAGTTTATTGAAGCAGGACCTAGTGAAGCCCCCTTTCTATGTGTCCCCATCCCAGCACAGGCAGGCTTTAAACAAGCATGCAACTATCTTAGATATTCCGTGGAGTATGGCTTAAATTTTACTCTCCTAACTGAAATAAATACCTGATCATTTTGTTATTTGCATATCAAAAACTCTTATAATAATAATAATTAAGAAACGTCCCTTCTTCCTGTTCTCAAAAGTACAGAAAAAACATAGGAGTAATTTGTGAGAGCAAGTGAATTTATCTTCCAGCCAACTAACTTCTCACAGGGGCAAATGACATCTGGATTGGTTGATTTTTTTAAGTGTGTGTGGTTTTTGTTTCTTATTTGAATAAATTTGTTCTTCTGAGACAATATTATCATAATTATAATAGAGTTCCATGGGGAAGAATAAGTCAATATAAGAATATTCATATTCCCACAACTTTTCAGGAATAGGCTACAAGAAATTATCATGACTTCTTTTCATTTTCCCTCTTTTTACCTTCCCATTAGAGTATATGCCCCTCACATTATCTGATAGGATTTCAGGTCAAGTAAATTTGGCTTTTATTTATTTATTTATTTTATTTAAAAGATTTTATTTATTTGACACAGAGAGAGACACAGCGAGAGAGGGAACACAAGCAGGGGGAGTGTGAGAGGGGGAAGCAGGTTTCCTGTGGAGCAGGGAGCCTGATGCGGGACTCCATCCCAGGACCCTAGGATCATGACCTGAGCCGAAAGCAGACGCTTAACAACGGAGCTACCCAGGCACTCCTAAATTTGGCTTTTAGTGAATGGTATGAAGCAATCAGCTATTACTGAGGACAAATATTAAATAGACATAGACTAGTATTGTATTTGGGAGGCAAAAGGAGACTGGGCTATACCTGCTGGTCCTGATGGAAGCTCACAGAACTCAAGAGAACTAGGGGGCAGGCAGTCCTGGAGCATGAGCAGCAGATATTTGGAGGAGGGTGGCGTGGCTGTTTTATGCCAATGGTAAATGGTTGCTGGTCTGGGCATATCTATATATTAGCAAAACAATTATCCGACATAGACGTATTATATTCTACACATGCAATGTTATTTATGTAAATAGAAATTTTGGCAATTTTTCATTGCATTGCTTTTCAAAAGTTGCTGAAATGAAACCATTTACCATTAGCAATGGTACCTAGAAAACATTTTGCAATCTATAGCCAATTTAGTACAAATGAGACACACGTGAAGTCTAATTCTCATGGAAGAGGAATTCTTCACCTGTAATCTGTAGATAACGTCATTCATGTGGTATTTGTGCCATTAGCCATCAGCCATGTTTTGTCCCTTTGGTGGAGCCAGATGGAAATATCTTGTTGTTTTAGTGATGTGAGAATCAGGGAGAAAGGGAAGCGAAATGCTGTTTTTTGTTTGTTTTTTCAGGAGTGACGGCGGTGAGAGGGCTGAGCAGAGAGCACGGGACTGTGATGCTGCCCCCTGCAGGTGGTGAGGAGGGAGACTAGCCAGCCCCCAGCCTTCCCGCGAGAGCATTAGCCGGGTCAGAAACTGAAAGGCTGAGAATGGGGTCTCTCTGCTGCCTTTCCACCTTTTCCTTCAGAAACCCAGTCGGGAATGACCCCTGTGCTGCTTCCTACACCCTCCTCTTCTCTCCTTGAATGTGGGCTGTAGCGGCTAACAGAATCCCTTTCCTTGCTTCGTCCTCCTCACTGAGCAATGGGATTTAGGAACTCCTGGACAGTGATTACAACAATCGGCATTGTTGGCCTGTGGCGTGCCAGACTCATTTTTTTGGGGGAAAAAAAGAGACACAACAAAACCACAACAGAAAAGCATCCCGTGATTTCCCCGCACACAGCATAGGGTTGTATTTCTCTTACCATCAGACAGGGATTCATAGTCATAATCATATTCATCCTCTTCATCCTCCTCTTCCTCGTTACTAGCAGGTGGGGGGTTGGCATTCCCCCCATTATAAGCCTGAGCTTGCATGGATGCTAACTGATGAGCCTGTAAGATATCAGTAATTAAAGACTGCAGATGCTAAGCTACTCAAGTTTCATTTATAGCCCTCAAGGTGACCACCTAATGCTTGCCACAGTCATAAAAAGGGGCTTAACCTATTTTGGTTCATTTGAGACAAAAACCAAAAATCTGTATTTACCTAAAGTTCAGTGTCAATACTTGGGCGAATGTTGACATCCCTACGAGAGCAATCAGGGAGCTTTTAGCAACAGTCACAGGTAATCTGTGTGTCATGCCCAGCCACCCGGGCTCCCTGGGCCAAGCCCTCCAGGACAAACCCTGGTGCTTGGGAGAACCACCGTCACTCCCAAATGATGAAGAAGTGAATTAGCCCATCACTTTTGGAAAAGTAAGTCTCTGCTAAGAAACTGTTTTTTTTTCTTCTTCTTAAAATAATATCTAAAGGCCTTTGACTTCGAGAAAAAGGTGAGAGTCCCTGTGGACAATGAGACTGAGTGAATAGTTTAAATAAAGTTTTTTTCAACAGACTTTATCTGAACCGTCAATCAGATTAACAAACTAGGCTAGAAACTTCTGGAAATTTGATGTGTGCTACGAGGGAGATCATGTGTCTTTACACTCAACTAGAATTACTGTGAGGTGGTATCACAGGTATCACAAGGTTAGTATAGGTCTGGGAACTGAGCATAGGAAATAAGCAGAAATATAGGAAAAGTTACTTGTATGAATTAAAAACAAGAAACAAACTTAAAATCCAACAATAGAAGAATGGGGTCAGTAAACTATGCTGTATCTGCCTAAAAAAATGAGACTTAAAAAAACAATTGTGATATATATTTATTGAACAAAGGATACAGAATTGTGTGTGTATAAATAATTATACATGTAAATATATACATATATACATGTATCTATTATGCAAATATATATACAATTCTATATCATTTGTTCTGTGTCTATCTACAATGATTATAATGATATAAAATGACATGCATAATACAGCAGGGATTCTTGACATGTTGTTGTGCACAAACCCCTTTAGCAGTCTGGTGAGGTAGGATCCCTTCTCAGAATGATATTTTATTTTATATTTTTAAGTAGGTTCCACACCCAGCATGGACCCCAATGTGGGGATTAAACTTATGACTCTGAGATCGAGATCTGAGCTGAGATCAAGAGTTGGACGCTTAACTGACTGAGCCACCCAGGGACCCCGACATTTTAAATGCAAAAAACAAAACAGAAAAGATTATTAAAAATGTTGAATACAGTTATCAAATATTAAAAAACAAATTGGGGTGCTATAGGAATATATGTCTCTTTATTAACACAGACAAAATGTATAAGGGTAGGTCAAGTAACATTTTTGAAATAGTGATGAGCATAAATAATTCTTGGAGATTTAGCAACAACTGTAATGTAACAGAAAAAACTATAATTTCTATTGATGAAGACCCAAGTACTGCCAGTGTTACTGTGGTTTGTTCCCTATGTTTATTACCAGAAGAAATGCTAAATTTTAGCTAGAGGTTAGTAAAAACGGAGATGTAATTTTTTTTCCATCTACACTCATGGACCCTTGAATTCTGTCTGTGGATATATTACCAAGGTTAAGAACCCCCGTGATACAGGTTGTATTTGGTGTCGGAATTATGGATGTTTTAAAATAATTCTCTCTTCCCTAAATTTTTTGAGATGTGGTTATATTCCTTTTATAATAAAAATGTATACATAAGGAAGACACAATTTAGGCTCTGTCTATATCAACATGAAATATTTTACAATACAGTCCACTCGAGACAACTGAACACTGTTTAGGCTGGGATTTCTCAAAGTGGGTTTTATGGAACACGAACTCCATGAGTGTTAATAGCTGGTAGGTGAAACCTGACCTATATTACAGTAACCACAAGACACAATGGAAGGTTGGGAACAGCACTTAAACTGAAGCAGTCCTGCTACAGGGTTTCACATAGCCTTCATTTAATATGCTAAAGGGCACTGTGATTCTTCAAAGCTCTTCAGTACAGCATTTCCCACGCTTTTTTAACCAGGGATTTTTTCCCTCCCTCACCCCTTTTCTCAGCATGTCTCATAGGATTAGTGTTCTTCAAAACTTTGGGTAATGTGCTCTAGGCACAAGGGAGCCACAAAAGCAAGTCTATTTGTCACAGATAAGAGAAGGGCCTTGATGCAGCCAGCATTCAAGGTAGAGCTAAGGGCTGGGAATGATGATGCAAAGAGCCTGGTAGGTCCACTGGCAGAGAAGTGTGAGAACCGTATGATGGGAGAGATGCCATGCAAAGATCTGGGGACCGGCAATGTTAGAAAGCAGCATGCCAAGGTCCTTTAAACTCCCAAACGCTTCTACCAATGCAGAAGTATGGAGAGGTGGCCAAAAGGATAACCAGGAGCTGACATCCTTATTCTGTGCAATATCCTACTTACTCTGAGGCAAAAATACAAGATCCTGGCCCTTGAATAAAAGCAATTCAGACATAGGTCGAGGGGTTGGAGCTAGAAGTCAGATGAGGGGACTGGCTCAGATGGGTCTAGTTGGAGCCATGTCTTACTTTGCTCTGTTCCACTGGCCCCTCGCATAGTCCCTGTCATCTAATGTGCATGGTTTGAGTCTACCAGGTTGGAGTGCTGGAGACCAAGGTCAGAAAACTAGAGATCTGATGGGTTATAGTTAGGGAGACTCAGTAAGAGCCTCAGCATGAGTCTGAGGCAGACAGAAGTCTCCAGAAATCCCCCTGGCTCTGAGTCAGTCCACCCTAGCTGAGGGTGAGTTTCTGGTATGGCAATGACCCAGGTAAGTCAGGGATTGGGTCTGAACATACTGGAGCTCTAGGCATTCACTCACCCAGCCTTGTGTGAGCTCAGATCACCAGGGCTAGACCCACAATCTGCCAGGCGACTGAAAGACCTTGCATGTATGACTGTCAGTACTCCCTGGGAGATCATGGGAGGCTGGAAGTGGTCTTAAAAAACTAGAAGTGGGATTCTACTGTCCCATTTTTCCAAAAGGAGGAAGAGCTAAATTGTGGAAATTATATAGGGGGGAGTGTCAAGGTGATAGCCAACAAAATCTCAGAATGGGTTATTAATTAGTTGGTGAAGAACACAGAAAATAAAGATGTTATTAGCAAGAGTTAGGATGGGTTTACTAAGAACACATCTCCAGAACACTAAACTCTTTTTTTTTCAAATATTTTATTTATTTATTTGAGAGAGACAGAGATAGTGAGAGAGAGCACAAGTGGGAAGGAGGGGAAGAAGCAGACTCCCTGCTGAGCAGGGAGCCCGATGCAGGACTCGATCCCAGGACCCTGGGATCATGACCTGAGCCAAAATCAAGAGTTGGATACTTAACCGACTGAGCCACCCAGGTGTCCCTGGAACACTAAACTCTTTAGACTTTTTGGGTAAGGTAACTCACTTTTTGGGAAATAACAAATAAGGAGTGTTTCCAAACTTCCAGGACTATAAGAATTATTTTTTTTAAAGATTTTATTTATTTATGAGAGAGAGAGAGAAAGAGAGAGAGCACATGAGAGGGGGGAGGGTCAGAGGGAGAAGCAGACTCCCTGCGGAGCAGGGAGCCCGATGTGGGACTCGATCCAGGGACTCCAGGATCATGACCTGAGCCGAAGGCAGTCGCTTAACCAACTGAGCCACCCAGGCGCCCAATAATTATTTTTAAATAAACAGATTACCCAGCTTTCCTTGTGGAAATTCTGATTTAGTTGGGCAGATTTGGGACCTAAGAATCTATGTTTTTAATAGTGTTCCAGTGATTATCAATGTATTCTGACTTTTTTAAAAAAAAGATTTTATTTATTTGAGAGAGAGAGAGCATGTGTGTGTGAGTGGGGGAAGGAGCAGAGGGGGTGGGACAAGCAGACTCCACACTAAGCATGGAGTCCGAAGCATGGCTAGATCTCATGACCCTGAGAACATGACCTGAGCTGAAACCAAGAGTTGGATGCTTAACTGACTGAGCCACCCAGGCGCCCCTGTATTCTGACTTCTATATTACGTTTGAAAGAGTCTTTCCTAAAGACCTGAATCTGAATCCTAGTTCTGCTACTCTGAGCTGGGTGGCTTTGAGAAAGTCACATAAATGGCTGGGCCTTACTTTTCTAGTCTATAAATAAAGAAGCTGAAGCAGATTCTGGGGAAATGTGGGCTGCAGGAGAGGAGAGCACTACACAGGAGTGATAATCATCTAAACTCCAGGAAGGATTTGCAAGAAGGACCACAGGCGGGGCTCTCTGCTTGCTCATCTGGCTCAAGGGCAACTTTAAGGATTAAGGCACAATTTGAAAAACTGCTAATAAATACACTGGATATCAGAAGTCAAAATTAACAAAGAACCTTTTAGGCTGCAATGACATACCAAAACCAAGAAGAACAAATGTAACTGAGGTAAATGTGAGGCTCCTGCCCACGAAAGTTGAAAATGAACTGTAAAAACCTGAAGACGTGGGGAGACTAGCCAAAGAGCAGTCCCTGTGAAAATAACTGAACTCTTTTTGTTTTGCACAAACTCAACAGGAGCCCAGTGTGCACTGAAGAATTTTAAAAGTGAGAACAGTCCCAGGCTGCATTAACTGAGGTATAAAGTCCAAGTTAAGAGCAGCGATGGTTTCACTGTCCTCCTGGTGCAGTCAGACCCCTATCTGGAGTATTGACTTGTTCTGGAAATCACATCTTAAGATCGACAAATTCAAGAATATCCACAAATTTAAGAATATCCTAAACATTCTTAGTGGAAAGTAAAGAGTCTGAGCAGCCATATCCTGTGAGAAACAGTTGATACCACAAGACTGTTTAGTTTGGAGAAGAGAAAAGCTGGTGGGAGACACATGCTAGCTCTCTAGATATGGAATCAGTCTGTGCAGCTGTAGAGGGAGGAAGGAGTGCCAAGGAGTAGGAGGAACAGGAAGCAAGATTTGGGCTCAGCATAAAGACTTCTCAAATAGCACGATGCATTCATTTGTGAACTGGAGGCTGCATAAGTAACAAAGAACGGGAGAGGCAATGGCTACAAGATCCCACCGCATCTAGAGGACCACAGAGGTATGCGCAGGGCAGCTGGGTCTGCTTGGCAGTCAGGAGTGGGCAGTAGTTGCTGAGGAAAGAAAACAGCAGGGAGGGACAGTGTTGTAGAAGAAAAAGCACCCCGTCCCGGGCAGTCAGTTACTGACGCAGCCGTTGCGGAGGGCCGGGGAACACATGCTAGTGTTTTAGCTACATGACTTCCTAACAAAAGCCCATCAGCATAGATCTTGTGGTCTCTGGAACTCAAACAAATGCCAGGCTTTCTGGAGCAGCTGTGAAAGTCCAGACCTGCACACAGGTAAACCTAGCCGAGGGCTCAAACTGGTGGCCCTCAGGACTGACTTCCCCTCCAGACTAGGCTAGTGTGGCTGGTGCAGTGTTTTAAAAAGAATGTAATTAGAGCTGTTCATTTATGAGGGCACGCATCCTCCACTCCCATCCTGACTGTTTCCAACTGGCATACAGCGAGCTGGCCCCTCATATTTATGTTTCTGCTTGACCCCCAAAAGTGGCTGGTTTTGCAACTCTTGGCCAAGAGCTGTGTGCGATCTTCAAACTGTGTACCTCCGGGGTACACATGTGACTTCTAGGGATGTGCAGCTTCATTTATTTTTAAAGGAATCAATTTCTAGATTCAAGATTTTCAAGCTCTATGTGTACTCTTTAAAAAATAGGACTGCCTGTGAACAAGAGTAGGGTCGGCTGGTTCTCCCTTCCCCACGCTCTTGTCATGATTGCTCTTCACCTGTTTAACAAAAGAAAAGTGTAATTCTCACTTACCAAAGGGGGAAAAAAATCTGTGATACGTGAGATGAGGTGAAAACCACCCAAGGTAGCAAAGGGTCATTTGAGAATGCAGAGCTCCTGAGCGTCTCGAAAAACTAAAGACCGGAGCATTTTATTTCACCCAGGCAAAAAACACATTCAAGGCTCCATGCCTTTATCTGTCTCTGTCTGTCTGTCTGTCTGCCTATCTATCTATCTATCCATCCATCCATCCATCCATCCATCCCTGTCTCTGTCTCTATCTTCCCTCCCTTTCCTTCCTTTTGTCTGTCCATCCATCCATCTTAGAATTACTATTCAAAAGTGAGATGGTTATCATAGGGAGCAATGTTTATTTGAATTAAAAAAAATAAAGTCACACTTTTTCTGACCAAACATAATCCAGCTGACTAGGCTGATATCTTTGACAACGAGGATTGTTTTGTACATTATATTGGTATATAATTTATGTTATCTATATTTATATATAATAAATGTTATATTTGAAAATAAATCCTTTGTAACTACTTAAACTTGTGATAAAATTTTTAATGTCAACCTAAAAATGTATAAAAGGGGAAAATATGTGTGAGAAATACAGTTTTTCAAAAAATTTTTGAGATATTTGAGCAAAAAAATTTGATGACCATATTTCTACAGCATCCTTGGTAATCCTGAGCCACTCCATTCAGGGCAAACCCGATCAGTAGGGATTTCTTGGCTGGATTGGTTTGGGGACATTCTGTAAATATCTGTTTTTCTGCTCAGAAGGGTAAGTCTAAAGATGATGGAGCCTCTGACCTCACCTTCCTCCCCCACCCTGAGGCATCTGAAGCCATTGAGCATTTGGTGAATCACTGAATTTTTAGGTGATATCACGTAAACCTCTCTAACTCAGCCTGGACTTTGGGCAGCCTGGAATCCCGCTGCAGGTGAGCTGGACAATCTGGGAACTCCCTGGTACTTACTCAGCAGATGACAAGATTCTTTAAGGACCCCTCAGGGAAGCAGTAATGTTCTCGAATGGCAAGAAATACTGGAAATAGAGTCTGAGAAGTGGGACAATGAAATGTTTACAGAGTGGTCTACAATTCTGAGAGGGGTCCCATGATTCACTTTGGGAAAGATTTTGGGAGATTTTAGTGTCAGAGGGGTCCTATGAAGCTAGTTACCTTAACATTTCCATTTTACAGATGAAGAAATGGAAGCCTAGAAAGACTGACTAGGCCTATGGTCACACGGCTGGTTTGTGACAGAGCCAGAGACTGGAAACTGGTATTTTAGCTCCCCACCTAATGCTCTTTCTCCAGTATCATGTTATAAATCACTCGACTTTAAACTCAGGCCCTTACCTGTGAGTTCTACAAATTAGGGCTTTTAGAAGATTTGATGATTGTTACAAATTGATTACTCAACTAGGTCAAGCTGGACACTTGACTCAACTAGACTTGAGATTTTTTATTGATGACCTTGGACAAAGGTCCCAAATTTGTTGGGCTCATAGAATACTTTTGCTGACTTCTCTGTTCTCTGGAATCCACTAAAGCAGGACCGGAGTAGGGCCTGGAGGCTTGGAGGTGATGGCACAGACAGAAATTAAGAGCCATTGACCATGACCTAGGTTGAGCTCTGGACTGTCCCTGCTGCTGGAACAGCACCAGTGTACTGAGCTTCATGTGGCAACCCCTGGCTGTTGTTAAGTTTTACAAGTGGCGTTTCAGGCCCAAAAATAAAGACAAAGCCCTAAATAAGACACATAATTCTGGCAGCTGTCATTCTGTGGGATATGTGCAACCTGGCATATGAACTCAGCGGCTCTGGACCTAAACTTTTTCGTGGATCCTTGGGCTGAAGGCTCTCTACACAAGCAGGTTTGGGATACCTGGCGAGTAGATCTCTGTGGGTGAGGGAGATTGGGGAGTGCCCTGGAGTCCAGAGGCCACAGTGAAACATCAACTTCCATGCTGGGACCACAGGGCTGCTGGTATTGGGGTTCCAATACTGACTGACCATGTGCTTTCTCTACAGGGGCTCTCCCTACTGTGTGTAGAGGGAGGTCTCTCTATAGGGGGCTTTAGGGGTCCCCTCTAAAGGGGACCACAGCAACCACCGTGGGATTGACAGCTGTGAAGTCCAGGTCCAGAGACAAGAGTCACACTTTATCTCTCTCAGAGTAAATTAAATTTACAATGAGGTGCATTCTACATGTGAAATTAATTTCATAAAATAAAATTCTAGGTGAGTGGGAGGACAATTCTTATTAGTCTATTGACGGGACAGCCAGAACTCAAATTTATCATTCCAGGAAACACAATCATCAAAAAGTGGTTACCCTGCAGGTCATCTGAAAGGTCAGAATAACACTGATTTCTTAGTCCTGGGCACACTGCATACCCAGAGCCTCTATAATGAGAGGAGAATACCTTTTGCTTTAGGATGTCCACTGGTGTTTGGTGGGCTTTTAGCTTCTTATTTTTAAGAAGCACTCTCCTCCTAAGTTGGTCAGGTGAGGGAAGCATTGGATCATCTGAGAAATCGCTCTCAAACAGGAATTTAGCCACCAGTTTTTCTCCAAACACAGTCTACAAAGAATAAAGGAAAACACATAATCAGTGCCTTTTACCTACACTTGAATTATTCAACCAGATATTTCAGCTCAGTTGAAAGGTTTTACAAATCCTAGGAAGAGAAAGTAGGAAAGAAGTGGTGTTCCTCCTCCCCGCCAACACTCTCTTACTGGAAGGAAGGGAGGTGGTTAGAAGGTCAGGAGGAGTGATCTAGGCCATTCTCCAGGTGGGGACAGCTCTAACTTTCAGGAAAATACTCTAGGGTCTGATAGATTAAAGAAGAAAAGGAGATTCAGTTAGAGGCTGTGGTTTGTAGAATATGATCCATTCCAGATGTGGGTAAGAAGCCAAAAGGATAGAAACCTTGAAGTAGCTAGGGAGTGGTGATAAAGATGAAAGGTAATGGGGAGAATCTGCCACCATTTAGTATAGAGAACTGCCCGTATGCTTCTCAAAAAGATTTTCTGAGCATTGGCCTCCAAAGGGGAATGTGTCTCCCTCAAGGAGGTGGGTGGTGGAAGTAGGAACAAGACGATCCATTGGGGTGAGGGTAGAAAATATGGCATTTTCTATCTTCAGTAATTTTTTATTTTTTTTAATTTTTATTTATTTATTTATTTTCATTTTTTATTTTATTTTTTTTAAAGATTTTATTTATTTGACAGAGAGAGACACAGCGAGAGAGGGAACACAAGCAGGGGGGAGTGGGAGAGGGAGAAGCAGGCTTCCCGCGGAGCAGGGAGCCCGATGCGGGGCTCGATCCCAGGACCCTGGGATCATGACCTGAGCCGAAGGCAGACGCTTAACGACTGAGCCACCCAGGCGCCCCTCAGTAATTTTTTAATTAAAAGAAACAAAAATGGAAGCTTTATAGTGTTTAATGTACCTTAGCCTCATTAATGGAATTGAGAAATTAGTACTATGATTTGGCAAGGGCAGCTAACGACACCCCCTTTCCATCTCATACATGTTTCTCTGTAAGGTGTCTTTACCAGTGACTATAGCTGTTCAAATCAAATACTGAAATAATAAACTAAACCTAAAGCTAGACATACATGTCACTAATAAAAATTTCAGCACTGGGTGTTATATGCAATTAATGAATCATTGAACACTACATCAAAAACTAATGATGTACTGTATGTTGGCTAACTGAACATAAAAAAAGGAAATAAAAAAATTTCAAAAATTTTTCAATCACATTACTCCCACTAAAAACTTAGATAATAAATAATACATTTACTGTTAAAAATTTTTATGAGAGCAAAAAGGGATTTTGTACCATTAACAAATAATAGTATAAGAACTATTATTTACTTGACCCTTTCTCTGTAACTCCCTTTCCCAGTCTATTTTTGCATGTTTTAATTAAGGTATAAAATATGCTAATAAGTAGGATATGTATATAATGTATGAATAAGACAATAAACATACAACGGGAATACATACTACAGTATTTTACTGATGGAGTACACAGTCCAAAAAGTTGAGACCATAATTCTAAATGATGGCAAAAGAAAGGCAATATGAAAAGCTGGTTAGTTTTGTTGGCGTAAGTATTTGGGGACATTTTCCTTTGACTATGCCCCTCTCTCCCCCTGAGAGCCATATTTCCATTAAGTGCCTCAATCAGTGGAGGAAGGGGGAAATATAATGGAATATTTGGTCCTAAATCTGTCTGCATTATAGTTCGCCTGTATAAGGAAGTGTTAACATAGCAACTGTTTTGGCCAGTCTAAGCTCTTTACCAACACGGATCCCCATATCTGTAGTGTTAGCCACAAGAAAATTTGATTTGCCCTGAGGTATTTTCAGCTTTTCCACATACAACTGACAAGTGCCATCACTGATCTGTGGTGCCAGAAGCACTGGAGAATTGGTCTCTCCTTATCTCTAAGGCTTTCTGGAAATGGTCAGGAGACCACAAAACAATGTTTCATTACTTCAACTAAAAAGGTGGACCATTCAAGAGGGAGCCCAAGCTCCCAGGGCACCCTCATTTCTGAGGTCTGAGGGACCCTAACTGTATGTGCTTCGTGGCTGAGGTCCCTTGTGATGTGGTCCATGGTGGCTCCATATAAACAGTGACAAGACAAAGGCCAAGATACCATCCTAAGTCTTAGCTATAATAGCTTACCTTGAAAATTTCTGCCATTTTTCGTTGCTGAGGCAATGAGCAGTGGTTCTCAATTGATATGATGATGGGCAGGTCAGAGTTGATGAAGGCACTGCGGTCGATGGCTTCTACCACCTCCTGTGAGAGCCAGAGCAGCTCATTAGAGTCCAGATGTCTGTCCAGGGTGTCAGAAGAAGTACTTATAGCCACAGAAAGCACCTAAATTCTTGTTTGCAGAAGATTTTGGCCAAAATGGTTTTTATCTTTTCAAACGTATTTTCAAATTAAGCATGATGATAGGCTGTTTTCTATAAACACATTAAACTGTTCATATTGAGTTCTGTTCACATACTTTATAAGGAATGGCTATTAGTGTGCCAAATTTAACAAATCAGTACGTATACTGATAACATTTTAGGTAAAAGGCCTGTGTTTGTTAAAACATAAAAAATAATGAGGCTTAAGATATTTTCCTGCTTTCAAGGAGTTTATAATCAACCTATTGAGGCAATAAGACATATATGTATATTTATGTGTGCATGTAAACACAGTTCTCAAACCCTCCTTCTCTCAATATAGAGTACAAAAGTTTTAAGAGAGATGAATAGGAAAATGAGCTAAAGAGAAAATGCATTTTAGCTATCCTCTCTGCAAATAAGACAGAAATAATAGTATTCTATCCCAGCCCAGCCACAGTTCAGAGAAAAGTGATTTTACACAGCCAAAACCACTCTGAATGAGGAGAGTAACTGCACAATAAACTAATAAACTATTTAGAATTTGAAACAATAATCCAATGAGACTAGTCTTTCTGGGTGACTGACTTCCCCCGGTGGAACCAATTCTCATTATTTCATAATATTAATTATTTAATCATCTTCTAACACATGATGTTGGTCTTTGTCAGTGGGACACCAGGATAAATGACTTTTAATTCCTGTAGCAGGAAAAAAGCCCCTGCCCTTTTTTTTCCTTTAAATTTTTTATTGTTATGTTAATCACCATACATTACATCATTAGTTTTTGATGTAGTGTTCCATGATTCATTGTTTGTGCATAACACCCAGTGCTCCATGCAGAACGTGCCCTCTTTAATACCCATCACCAGGCTAACCCATCCCCCCACATCCCTCCCCTCTAGAACCCTCAGTTTGTTTTTCAGAGTCCATCGTCTCTCATGGTTCGTCTCCCCCTCTGATTTTCCCCCCTTCATTCTTCCCCTCCTGCTATCTTCTTTTTTTTTCCTTAACATATATTGCATTATTTGTTTCAGAGGTACAGATCTGTGATTCAACAGTCTTGCACAATTCACAGTGCTCACCATAGCACATACTCTCCCCAATGTCTATCACCCAGCCACTCCAACCCTCCCACCCCACCCCCACTCCAGCAACCCTCAGTTTGTTTCCTGAGATTAAGAATTCCTCATATCAGTGAGGTCATATGATACATGTCTTCCTCTGATTGACTTATTTCACTCAGCATAACACCCTCCAGTTCCATCCACGTCGTTGCAAATGGCAAGATCTCATTCCTTTTGATGGCTGCATAATATTCCATTGTGTATATATACCACATCTTCTTTATCCATTCATCTGTCGATGGACATCTTGGCTCTTTCCACAGTTTAAGCCCCTGCCTTTTATATATCATCTTATGATGTAAAAATTGCAACAATAGCATTACAAGATAACTCATTTAAGGTAATGCTTATTAAACTCTGGTGAATGAGACTCTAATGAGAGTTCTATATCAACTCCCAGAAAAATGAACATGTGCACATCCCACACAATTTTGGGAAGTCTATAGGCTCAGGATGAGAACTCCCAACCTAAGGTATAATTTGGAAGAGTCACTCATGTAAAGGACTGATGAAGACAATGACTCTGTGATCTGATTTAAGGAACATGTGAAGCATTACCTTGAAGGGGATCTTGGTTGTCAGTGTGTGTCCGTGGTAGATGATGGGCATCCCATCATCTCCATCCCAGCAGTCCAACTCCACGCTCCTGCAGCCTTGCAGGAGGACCTGTATGATCAACGAATGGATTCACCCCAGATGAGCAGATGGACACAGAGCCTCAAATTAAACCCAACAAATGCTTCTACATATCAGTGTTCATGTTTACGGCTAAAGCAGAAGGGCATAACATCTAAAATAAAGCATGCGTTTTGGCCAAATGCCACAATGAATTAGGGGAGAGAACAAATTATGGTGGAAAGAGTGTTTACCAGAGCTGAATACTACTGGAAGGTAAAAAAAAAAAAAATTTAAAGATTTTATTTATTTGTCAGAGGGCAGGGGGCGGGGGAGCGCACAGGCAGGGGGAGAGTTAGGCAGAGCAGACAGAGGGAGAAGCAGACTCCCCTCTAAGCAGGAAGCCAGATGTGGGACTTGATCCCATGACTCTGGGATCATGACCTGAGCCAAAGGCAGGCACTTAGCCAACTGAGCCACCCAGGCATCCCTGGAAGGTAAATTTGATAGCAAAACCATATGACTATTTTCCCAGCAACTTTGGTCTCTCAAGGGACGTACACAGGGTACATCCTGAAATGAGAGAGCGAGGCTAGTGCTCTACCTGGGCAAATGTGAGTGGAGGTGAAGGGGATGAGGTTGCAGGCCAAAGCAAACAAGGCCACCAATTCCTTAATGAACTGGCTAAACATTTGTATGACTCCAATCAGAATAAAATCTCCTCCATTTAGACCCAAATTCTGTCACTGGCTAATGCCTTTCCTGTGAACATAGAGCATGGCAGAAGAGTAGAAGCAAGCAGTCATCAAGGATTTGCCTTGTTGTCTAGTCCTAGAACAGAGGCAAATAATCCCTAAACTCCCCTCTGCCATACCCACAGCAGTCATCAGGGATGAATCACAACACACGTGCCTCCTATGTCACAACCTCTTCAGTAAAGTGCTCCATTGCTAAATCAGGTAAGATGATACCTATTTGCTCCCCTGGATGGGGAGCTGGATGCAGAGCTCCTGGCACATGTGCTCGGGTTGCAGCTCTGTAATATTTGTGTGCAGCAACCTCTTCCTCCATAGACTCTCTTTGTGAACTTTGTGAACTTAAAAGATTTCCATATATTGGAAGGATAAGGCAAACCAAAAGGCGGATGTATCTGTGAATGGGCCAACTCACTGATTTAAAACTCCATATAACTATTTCCAGGCGACAGCAATCCAATACTGTGGGTGAGTGGCCGCTAGAGTTACTGCAACAAAACTCAGTGGAATCCCTCTTATTTTAATCTTTTTTATGAGGTCCTTGCTAGAATCTTCCCATTGCATGGCATGCAGCACCCAGTCTTCCCAGGTGACCGATGGCCCAGGTGGAACCGATTCTGGGGCCTAAACTCCGGAGGCTAAGAGCTTCTTCCAGCAGCTACAGTATCTAGAGGTATGTTGCTCTGGGTTGAGAATTGTGGTGTCGAATGACAGCAGGAGCTGGAGGCTGCTTCATCTCAGTGGTGAGCCACACTGGGGAGAAAGCTCGCTTGCTGACTGGCAGCACAGGAGATGGTTTTTCAGCATGAAAAGACTACAGGGCTTTCCGAAGTCTGCATGACATTAAGACCTCCACATAGGGCTAGAAGAAGAAAACTAGGGCTGGAAATTCCAGGTGAGAACAGGGCTTTTCCTCACTCCTGGTTTGTCCCGTGGAGGAAGGTGAGGAGGTAACTAGCAGGGCTGAGGGAAAGCAGAGACTGGTAAGAAATAAGCTACAAGGGATCTTCACACTGGGTTTAACCACATCTGTGAGTCTATTTGAGGTGTTCTTGTGCCTCATTCAAAGGCTGTGACAATCTCTACTCAGGGTGTAATATTAAGGAGTTAAAAAAACCTCTTGGAGGTCAAATAGGGAAGTGAGGTAGGACTTAAAGCTAGGACATTGCAACCCTGCCCATCTTCCTGGGAGAAACACACAGACACACTGCACACACACAAGCACAAGCACATGCACATGCATGCATACACACACACACACACACACACACTTCATTTCTTTCCCCTAGAACTAGAACAATGGATTTCAAACTCCTTTTTAACCCTGGAATTCTCTGTGCAAATGGAGGGTCGTATGTAAAGCACATAAGAAGAATAGGACATTAGCTACAGTGGGGGCAGGGGATGGGGCCCTCCTACCCTCCTACTCTGCTGCTTGCTCCTCTCAATGTCCCCAGCTGAGGTCCCTCGATAGAACTTCTATTTTGAAAATCACTACTCTAAGGACATATCTTCATTTCATAATAAAAGTCCTTTAGAATTTAGAGTTTAAAATACAAATTCCATACCAAATAAGCTTTGGGACAGAAGTTTGACCCATGCTTGAGGAATATCTGGACTGATGTGGAGAACAAAGGAACCTCAACTCTGCTGGGTTTGTGTAAACGATGATAACTGTCATACTTGAACACCCTCCCTGCCCCACCCTTCCCAACCACACCCTTGTATTCCCTGGGCCTAGCCTCGCTTTTCTTCCTGATTACCTCTTCTTGTAGGAGGTCAGGAAACAGGCAGTATAGATGAGAAAGTTGCAGAAGATATAACAGAGGCAACTGACATGCAGATCAATGAGAGTTGGTGTTAAGGTCAAAAGGATATGCCTTTTCTATTCCAGAGACCCTTAGGAGTTTCCAAGAACATCTGCACGAATTTAAGTGTGTAGGGACACTGCCTACAGTCTTTGTAAATTTTCATTCCATAAGCTGGTTACCGTAGGGATGGACTGATTGTCTAAAAAATTTCAAATGAAAATAAACCATACTTTGAGATTAACTTCATAGAAATTCTGTTGCATTTTCTATTATGCTTTCCCACTATATTGATTTATTTAGCATTTAGTGAAACGATTGATTTTCCCATGGGAAAATCTAATTTTAGTAGGAGTAGGTCAGACAAAGTAGGATTTAAAAGCTATGAGTCTCAAACAAATACCTTTTTTTTTTTTTGCCTAGTATAAGGGTTAAATATAGATAAGAGGGAGAAAGAAAACAAAAAGAAGAAAACAACTGTACGTATAGGCAGTTTTCCCACACATCATGTTTCCTCACATTTCACATGTAATAGCTGGTAAGTTCTTCAAAGGAGTTGGGGATCAGGGTTTTGTGACTTTGGGGGTTACATCAATAAGATTTAATGGAAATCACATGCCATGTGGAGTTCTGTACCTGACTGTAGAGTTCCACTGAGGACTCTCCTTTGAGCTGGTGGCCTGTGAGGTAGGTATTGTGTGAAGATTCAATGTAATAGTAGGAGAGGGGCAGCTGCAAGTCTTTAATGTTTTCCTGTGACTCATCATTTTTGGAGGCAAAATTATCTTTATCCATCAGAAACCTAGAGGAAACACATTTTCTTAGGCCTGCATAGGGAAAAGAGTTACTCTCAAATGATGGGCAAAAGAGACTTTAAAAGTTACCTTGCAAATCCCTCAAATGACAGTAGTCCCTGATGACACCTACTAATGCTAGGCTCGAACTTCTGCAAGGGACACAAAAAGAGTGTTATTTAGGTAAAGGAAACTAAGGGGAAAAAAAATCACCATATCATTTTTTAAAGGTGTTCTGTTTTCATCAGGAAACATCTCAACCAAATATTTGAACTAATTTTGTTATGCAGTGGTAAGAGGCAGTGTTTTAGTCCCAAAGAAAACATTTATTATATGTGCGTTTATTATACGAAGCATATTTATTTAAGAGAAAAAGGGAGAGCGAGGGAATAGGATAAGGCTGATTCATATGAAAACAAACGGTTATCAGCGTGTTCCAGGTGAACATGGGGATAAGCAGCTACCACAGAGCTGGGGAGAGGCGAAATGGGACGACTCAGAGGGAGTACTTGGTATGGTGCTCCCATGCAATAGTAGTAGAGTGAGCACCGGACCATGGGATCATAATCTTACATCGTTAGCATTTCCAGTGATCAACTGCTGGGCAGTGAATCCACTGATTCCCAATCGGCTGACAAGGGAGGTTGAAAACCCAGACCAATCCTGCTGTATGTGGCGTGGCCTGAATGAGTGTCCTAGCCCATCTCCTGCCACCCTCCGGAGGAAGCCATCATCATATCTTGCCTGGCTACTGGGATAGCTTCCTACCTGGTCTTTCTGCTTCTACTTCATTCCCAGCCCAGCTCACTTCCCAATGGGGCCAGAGTGACTTCTTGAATACATAAATCAAATCCTGTTACTACCCTGCTCAAAAATTTCCAATAGCTTTCCATGTCACATGGACTGAAGTCAAATTCCTTACCATGGCCTAAAATGCCCAGATGACTTGGCCCCTGCCCACCTGTCTGGAATCATGTCTACCATTGTGCCTCTGGCTCATGGGGCTCCTATTCCACCAGCCTTTTCATTGTCTTGCTCCCGCCTGGGTCTTTGAGCTCGCTACTCCCTGCCTGGAATGCTCTTTCCTCAGACCTTCACGGGCTTCTTGATTCAGGGCTCAGCCCCATTGTCACCTCCTCAGGGTGGCCTGTGCTTACTCCTCTCAGCCTCCCGCATCACTACGTCCCCTTACTCTGCTTGAGTTTTTCAGAATCCATCAATACCTGAAATTACATTCTATCTTTATTTATTGTCTGCCTCACCCACTAGGTGAAGGCCAGAACGTGATCTTATTTACTACTATATCCCAGGTCCTGGAAAGAACCTGGCCCGTAGGAGGAGCTAATAAATATTCACTAAATGATCAAAGAGGTTGAAAACCTAGAATACTCATTTTATTACGTGTGCTAGAACAACAAGAAGGAATCATGTACTGATCCCTTATAATAGTCACCAAGAGAAGGCTTGCAATCTATGTTAATTGTATGTTAAATAAGAATGCATCTATTGGTATTTAATGAAACCCTTCTGTTTCTGCCCCAGACTTAAAGGCTCTGGAAAAAAGTATAGAAACAGTATGGTTAGCAGAAAATCATTAGAACAGTCAGAGGCTTTATACACACGTGCATATGAAATGGGTACATACCTGGATGATGCTGAGGATTTCATCATAAGTGCAGTGTTCTCCCTGGCAGTTGACGAGGAAGTCATTGAGCTGGAGTATGCCAACACCAAAGATACCCAGAGACGTGCTCTCGACCCCAGTGCCATTTGTCACGATACTTGCAGCAGCAATAGCATCAGATATCTGCCTCTGGTTGTCGGACAGCTGCTGTTTACTCTTAATGAACAACCCCAAGTCCGAGACATTTCTGGTCAATAAATCTGAAATAGAAGCACCCACAGAACATGGGCAAGCTAGCCAGAATCTTTCATAAAGTTCATTTTGGAGATAATGGTATTGTGGAATTAGTCTCTTCACTCATCTGTCTACACAAGCCATCAAACTCAGTGCTTATTCCTGGCTTCACATAGTTGAGGAAACAAAAAATGAATCAATCAATAAATAAAAGAAACTAAGAGAGAACTAGGCCAGTGATCTTGAAAGCCCATGAGCTCAGGGTATTAAAAGAGAACTAACTGTACATTCAGTTGGGGACTTCAGGCTGAATTTGAACTTTGGTTTTTGAGAATAACTTTATTTTTACTTTTACAGACAGTGAAGAGGAACTCTTAAAATTACAGTTGTTTTGTATTTTACAAGTATAATTATAAACATTGGTGTGCAGGTTTCGGTGTGAAAATAAGTTTTCAGCTCGTTTGGGTAAATATCAAGGAGTATAATTGCTGGATTGGCTAGTAAGAGTATATTAAATTTTGTAAGAAACTGCCAAACTTCCAAAGTGGGTGTTCCATTTTACCTTTCCACCAGCCATGTTCCAGGTGTCCCACATTGTCACCAACTTTGGTATGGCCATTTTAATTCTTGCCACTTTGGAAGAGAAGCTGGCAGTTTCTTACAGGGCTAAAGATGGGCTTTCTCATATGATCCAGCAACTGCCTTCCCAGGCGTTTACCAAAAGGAGTTGAAAACTTATGTCCACACAAAACTTGCACACAAATGTTTATAGCATCTTTATTCATAACTGCTAAAAATTGGAAGCAACCAAGATGTTCTTCAAAAGGTGGATGGATAAACAAATGGTGATACAACCACACGATAGAGTAGTATTCAGTGATAAAAAGAAATGAGCTATCGAGCCATGAAAAAACATAGGGGAACCTTGAATACACCTTGCTAAGAGAAAGAAGCCAATCTGAAAAGACTACATACGAACTGTATGATTCCAACGATAAGACATTCTGGAAAAGACAAAACTATGGAGACAGTAAAAAGAGGGTCAGAGGTAAGGTGGGAAGAATGAGCAGGCAGAGAACAGGGGATTTTGTATGACACTGTAATGGTAGATACAGATCATTATACTTTTGTCAAAACCCATAGCATGTACAATACAAACAGTGAACACTAAACTATGGACTTTAGTTAATAATAATATATCAGTATCAGCTCAACTGTCACAAATATACCATGCTAATAATGCAAGATATTAATAATAGGAAAAACGGTGTATGTGTGTGTGGGGAGGGTACGGTGGACCCTTGAACAACACAGGTTTGAACTGTGTGGGTCCATTTGTATGCAGATCTTTTTGATAAACACAGTATAATACTGTAAACAGATTTTATCTTCCTTATGATTTTCTTCATAATAATTTCTTTTCTCTAGCTTATTTAATTATAAGAATATAGTATATAACACACACACATATATATATACAAAATATGGAGTAATCAACTTATCGTTATGTTATCAGTAAGGATTTTCTGGTCAGGAGCAGGCTATTAGTAGTTAAATTTGGGGGGAGCCAAACATTAACATGTGGATTTCTGACTGTGTGGGGGATTGGCACCCTTAACCCTTGTCTTGTTCAGGAGTGAACTGTGTATGGGAATTCTCTGTACTTTCCAATCATTTTTCTGTAAACCTAAAACTGCTCTAGAAAAATAATGTCTATTAATTTTTTAACAAGTGCAACTACTTGACTAATCCATAGTTATGCATGTTTTGTGACTAGAGTTGAAAAAATTTAATAGTCTTAGTTGAGGACAGTGTAAGTTTTTGAGTAATAAAAAAGCAACTGTATAAAAGAGGACAGTTTGTTTTTGCTTCTTTGCATTTCTAGTCTCCAGAGAGAACAGAAGAGCAAACTAATGGGCTTACCATGCATCAGTGGTGGTGATCATAGTGGTGGTGGTGATCATAGTGGTGGTGGTGAGCGGGGCATAGGAGGCAGACATTCCAGGTTACACTCAGAAAAGTGTCCTGGATGTTGAGCAGGAGTGCTCTGCTCAGGTCACTAAAGATCTTCTTGTCAAAGGGCAGGCAATTCCCACCCTGGGGCTGAGCACCTGTCGGCCTGCAGGCAGGGAAACATTGGTGGTGCACCACACACCTACTGGACATTTGGACATGGGTGAGAGAGGGTTTTTGATTGTCAGAAGGACTGGAAGTCTCTGTTGATTAAATATTCTGGAATGCCTAAACAGACTCACACAATGACAAATTTCCTTGTCGAAAATGCCAACAGTCCCCATCCCTAAGACAACTTGAAGGAATCCTCAAAGTGTCCCCCCTTCTGCAGGTACCAGCACGCCACGTGGGACAAGCTGAGGGGCTGTGTGATTGGATCTCCAACCTTCGTTTTTAGGTAGAAAGGTCTCCACGGAAATATTACATGGTTGCACAAACCTAGATCAGGCTGAAGGTCGCTGGTGTTTTCGTCGATTGTTAGGTTGGTATAGAGGGGGGCCGACTCGGAGCCGGCTCGGTTGCAGGGCACGGCGTAGATGTCAAAGAGATCCTTCAGGTCCTTGCGGCTCCTCACGCTGGGCGGGGGATGGAAAACACTCCCGATTAGTATTGCCGCAAAAACGTGGGGCTGAGAAAGCCTCAGAAGAAAGCACGCCGTACCTGAATGATTTGAACAGCTCAACGAATTCAACAAAACTCATGTTACTGTCTGAAACCATGAAGCTCTGAAAACCCTTCATTCCTCCTTTGATCCTCCCGTGCCCGCTACTGCTGCTCCAAGCACTGCAACAAAGACATGGCCTTAACAGGCAAACCGGGGCCGGCACATCCTTCTGCCCCAACGGGCGCCCCCTGGGGAGCAACACCAGCGAAAAGATGGACCACAAGTCATTTAAGATTGAGGCTCTTTTCCGGACTCTCTTGTCATTTCTCTCAAAATTAATCTACATTGTGTCAGAGTAAATAAGACATATGACGCAGCAAAACCACTTCATGATTATAGGCTACGTAATAAGGCCACAAGGCTAGGGTTAATATCCTTACACTAACCAAAACAGCTCTTTGAAATCACAGGTCAATGGGAGGACACAACTTGAACTCAATGTTTCTGAAGAAAAGTCATTTTTTTCAAAAGTGCCTATGCTTTTTCAAAAGCACAACCTGTGGAAAAATCTGCACGTTCTTTCCTATATTCTAAATTACAGAAACATGTTCAGGAAGAAAGTCCTGAACGTATCAATGTCTTCTCTTTTCCCTTTCTTAACCAGTTATTAGATGAAAACAAGGAAGGGCTTTTAATACTAATGGAAAATGTGAGTCACAAAAATATTAAGAGTGGAAAGAAGCCAATTCTGCCTAGAACATATCTGCACCTGCCAAGGCTGTATATTCAGTATAAAAATATCAGTCCACTTGGTCAAAACTCAGTCTAGCTGTTTCACAACACTATTATTTTCTATACTGGTTCCCTGACAGGATAGTATAAGAAATGTTTTGATTGGTCTTTAGTCAAATCAATAAACAGGATCTTTCTTTCTTTTTTTCTTTCTTTCTTTCTTTTTCTTTCTTCTTTTCATTTTTGTTTTTTGGGCTTTATTATTTTTTTACTTTTGAAATATTTCAAATATATAAGAAAGTATAGAGACTATTGTAATGAATAGCCAGTTTATACTGAATCGTGCTAACAGTGTTTATTCGTGGAAAATTATTTTGTGTTGATATCTGAAAGTCACCTCTGTACATGGAAGAGTATTACAAAGGATGGATTTGTAGTTGTTTGTAGGCATGGGCTGTTGATCCCCAAAGTGGTGTTGGAAGCAACCGGTGGAGGTTTAGGAAGAGGAAAAAGGTCTGACAAAGTTGCTTATCATTTGCATTTAAGCAAGTATGTTCCCTGTGTTCCTCCCTTCTCGTTCTGGGTCAGCCACTATCTGCAGGAACCCTTCTCCCTTAGACTTTAGGGAACTGTCCACTCTCTCCTCTTCTAGGGCTCAGCCTTGCTTTCTCCTTGAACAGCATTTGGGCTAATTTTTCTTTTCTGGCCTTATCTTTTGGTTTTAGCTTACTTGGTGGGCACTGACCCCTGTCCTCTTGTGGGAGGGCCCGATGATCTTGCATCTGGCATGTTAGTTCTACCTCTTTGAAAAGATTTTCCTCCCTTACTCTGTCCTTCCCATTCCTGTTCCTGAGTGATTGAAATAAAGGGAAAGCCACTTCATCCAAGTTCTCTCTGGGTATTTTATTTACCCAGGACACTGTAGAGGATGAAATATAAAGAGTTCTGACTCTTTGTAGCTTTTCATTTTGTTACAAACCTAAACTTGCCGAAAAGTTGCAAGAGTGGTACAAAGAATTCCCATGTACCTTTGACCCAGTTTCACCAAGTGTAGAAATCTGAATGTATAGAGCTTAAATTATGTTCATTATTCACATTGTGAAAGAAGGCTTCCCTGTAAAAGATGATTTACTGTAGGATTCTTATCAGTAGCAAACTTCCTTGAGAGAGAGAGAGAGAGTGTGTGTGTGTGTATATGTATGTGCATGTGTGAGTGTGTAATTAACGTTTCCAAAGCCAGTGTCTGCACAGACCCATTTCCTCCTACCACTCCTCTGTTCAATAAAGAGTACCTGTTTTATCTTGGTTCTGTCTGGAACCTCCGCATTTCTTAAACTTTTTGGGGGGCTGAGGAAGAAGGTATGGCATTCTAATTCCTTTGTTTTGCTTTCTTAATATTATTTCATCTGAAAGGGTAGGTGTTTCAAATCTGTACTTTGCATGGACCTTATAAAATAATTTACTATAACACTAGCTTTAGAATTATACCTTAACATACCTAACTTGCTCTAATACATTCATTTCTCCAGACAGGTGTATCTTGTCTTATATACGAGAAGAGTATTAAATATATTTTACCTAACAGCAAAGGGTAAAGTGGCTTACTTTAAAACTTACTTTATTCCTCAGAACAGTGCTATCCAACAGAATTTTTTGCAATGATAGAAATGTTCTCTTTCTGCATTGTGCAGTATAGCAGCCACTGGCCACTTGTAGCTAAGAACACTTTTAATGGGCATAGTGTGACCGAGGAACTGAATTTTAAATTTTATTTAATTTTTATAGACTTAAAATCAAATTTAAAGAGCCATCTTTTTTCCCCCGCTGTGGCCAGTGGTTACTATATTCGACAAGGCAGCTTCAGAAAATCACAGCTTGGGTTTTGTTAGTGCTACTGAAGGACTGGTCTGTCAAATAATTAGGTTAGGAGCAATTACAGTAATGCGAGAAGAGAGGAGTGTAAAATCAGGAAAATTAGAAGCATTTAAAAGTAGGGTTCTTTTCAGTTTTCAGTGTAACTGTTAAGTCAAAATTAGAGACAGTCTTTACACAGAGCACTGGAAGATGATGCCCTTCTACATAACTTGAATGATGTGAAGGGTCCTTCTGTTTTATCATGTTAAGGCCCCACCTGGACGGGCTCTTGTTTGAAGAAGACAGCACAGGGGAGGACACTGGCCTGATGGGAGATGATGTCCCGGCAGACAAGTTAGGAGACCCAGCTGTGGTCAAAGAGTGGGCTCTTCTGGAAGGCAGAGTGTTAGGAGGGCTCATGAAGGCATGTGCCTCTGTGAGAGAGAAACACAGAAACCAGACAATGACGCCAGGTTATCCTTTCCCTCGAAATCAAAGAAACACCAAAGCTGCTTCTGAATGTCTGAGCAAATCCTTCTATGTAAGCAATTGCTATACAAGAAGCATCAAAATATTCTGAGGAGTGGACTCATGTGGTGGGTTCTCAACCTTGGCTGCAGATCAGAATGATTTGGGGAGCTTAAAAATATAGAGATGTTCAGAGAGTGTTAGACTCAGTGGGGCTGGGGTGCCACCAGGGCATCCAGATATTTTTAAAAAATAATCTCAGCCGTGGTTGAGAATCACTGCTCTCTGGTCTAATCAACAACATTATTTTGTATATCTCATATCTTTTGTCCATGAGGCCAAGTTAATTAATGAGAATTTTCTTCCAAGCACACTGAGCTTGCAAAAGTACCTCTTGGGTTCTACTATCTAGTTAAATACAAAGATAAGTATATTTAGGGGCACCTGGGTGGCTCAGTCGTTAAGCGTCTGCCTTCGGCTCAGGTCATGATCCCCGGGTCCTGGGATCAAGACCCGCGTCGGGCTCCCTGCTCAGTGGGAAGCCTGCTTCTCCCTCTCCCACTCCCCCTGCTTGTGTTCCCTCTCTTGCTGTGTCTCTCTCTATCAAATAAATAAATAAAATCTTTAAAAATAAATAAAGATAAGAATACTTAACAAGACAAATAGTTAAGAATGTCCACAGTACTTAAATCACAATTGAAAACCAAATGCATATTTTCCCTATAAAACAAAAAAAACCCTCAGATGTTGGTAGGGGGTTTTACCGGATTCTTCTTGCTCATTCATGTCTTGAGGGTCGGAACCACTCCGGCTGCGACTCTCCCTGTGCATTTTGGTCTTCCGCGTAGCCATCTCGTCGTCGGCCGCCTCTCCACTCTCACCCTGGGAACACACACGTGCCAATATCCCTCGTTCTGGGTTTCTCTCCCTCCCGGCACTGCTGCGGTTCAGGCAGGACCCTATTTTCTGACTGCCCCACCTTCCACACGCCCCCCACCCCAAACCAGTACAGACCCCTGTGAAGGCTGACCCAGGAGTCTCACGTTACACTATCCCACTTGTTTTTCGCGATACAGCAGCACTCCCTGGGGGAGGCGGCTGACAAGAGCAGACACACAGCCCCTGGCATCTCTACGTAGAGACCAAATTATGAAGCAGACAAAGCTTGGCTTAGGCATCAACAGCCTTTCATACACAAAATGTGGGACTTTTTCTAGATAACCATGGAGAAAATACACTATCGTGTTATAGTGATAATCTCCATATAATGAATATAGAATGTAGAGTGGTAACTAACCAAATATTTTCTGTCATGGTAAAAACCATAAATTCTACCACTTTAACCATTTTTAAGTGTACAATAGAGTAGTGCTAACTCTATGTGCTTTGCTGTGCAGCAGATCTCTAGAACTCTTTCCTCTTACAAAACTGAAACTCTAGACGCAATGAAAAACGGGTTCCCCTTTGCCCTTTCCCCCCCAGCCCCTGGCATCCACCATCCTACTTTCTGTTTCCAAGAACTTGACCACTCTAGGTACCTCATCTAAGTGGAATCATGCCACATTTGTCCTTTTGTGACTGGCTTATTACACTTAGGGTGATGTCCTTCAGGTTCACCCACATTGTCGCATGCCAGGAATTCCTTCTTTTTTAAAGGCTGAACGCTATTCCATTATATGTATACCTCACCTTTCCTTGATCTTTCATTCATGGATGGACATTTAGGTTGCTTCTCTTGATACCGCATTTTAAGTTGTATTCTACATTGAGCATTTTGGCCTTTTAAGACCTTTATAACCGGATCCCTGGTCTTTTTAGCCTTTGCTTGCCACCACAGAGCCTATGCTCCAGCATGGAGCATGAACCCAGAACTCCGCATGCTTCCCTGCACAAGCCAAGTCTTCCGTGCTTCCCTCCCGCCACCTCTGCCAGAAATGCTCCCCTCCCGCCCTCACAGCGTTGTCTGTCTGATCCTTCAAGACCCATCTGTCGGCTTCCCTGCGAAGCCTCTCCTGTCTGCATCCTAGCCCTGGATCTTCCTTATGTCTGCTCCCATAGCACTCTGTAGATGGCTTAACCATGACTCCTACTGAGTCCTCACTGTTTGAGGCCCCTGATTTTTTCAGGTGTTGACACAATTCCCAACACTGGGCCTGGCACCAGGAGGTGCTTGGCAAGTGCTTGCATTTCATTTGTTCCATCTCGTCCCCACCCCAAATGCGCTAAGGTGATGTAGACCATACAACAGTCCTGGATGATGGGGTCTGAGGCGTCATAAATAACACTCTACCCTTATAAGGGTTTTCTTCTTTTTCTTGGTGGTGCTTATGCCCAAGGTGTTGTTTCTCTGCACACTGGGCTTCTCAGCACTCTTTGCGGATATCCCAAGGCTGGGATTGCGTGTACTCCATCGCCGGCCACCAAACAGCTCCACAGCATGAGCCAAAGTTGGGCCTTCATACCGTCCGTCCTCCTGTAAGAGAATCACATTCTGAATGCATGAGGGAACAGCAAGCAATGGGGAAGTCAACAGATGAATGGCTTCTAGTAAATTCCCAGAGGTGGAGGAGCACAGGCGGTTAACGGAAGACTAGAGATCTGGCCACCCAAGTGGCCCTGTGTCCTGTCAGACTCTGTTGGGAGTCTCATCACATCCTGTTGTCCTGGTCACATCCCTGCTGAGTTCCAAGGATGTGCTACGGGCAAGTGGGATGAAAATAAACTTCCCTTCCCAGTTTCAGAGGTTATATTCCAGAATTACCACTGTAGGAATATTCAGGAAAGGTTTTTGTTTTTTTTTTTATTGTTGTTGTTTGTTTGTTTTTTACCTAGTTCGATGCTTGGGACAGTATGACTTGAAATACAGAGTATGTGGCATTTACTTCAGAGGGCTCTGGGAGATAACCACAGAGAAAACATATTATTAAATAGTTGGTGCACACCTGAAACTAATGTAACATTATGTGTCAACAACTATACTCAGTAAAATAAAGAAAGAAAATAGCTGGGGGCGCCTGGGTGGCTCAGTTGGTTAGGCGACTGCCTTCGGCTCAGGTCGTGATCCTGGAGTCCTGGGATCGAGTCCCGCATCGGGCTCCCCCCTTGGCGAGGAGCCTGCTTCTCCCTCCAACCCTCCCCTCTCTCATGTACTCTCTCTCTCTCTCATTCTCACTCTCTCAAAATAAATGGATAAATCTTTAAAAAAAAAAAAAGAAAATAGCTGGGCTGCTGTCCTCTTGAATGACTGATAACCAAGGATAGAGAGCCCAGGGCACTGAGAACACCATGCATATTATGATGCTGTGAGCAGCGAGAAGATCCTTGTCTTGAAGCAGGCATGCTTCTCCCCAGGTAACTGAGCTACGTGCGCTGGGGAGCAGCAGGGATTTACTCATTAAACAACTGCCAACAATTCTCCCTCTAAGTCAGGGAGGCTGGTTAATAAAACCACAAAAAGTCATGTTCAAATTAAAGCCAATATGGATGAAATTCACAGGTTGTATAAAATGGACCTTTTAAAATTAATTTCCATAATTTACTGTCTTTACTTTCTGCAAGCTTTTAAGGCCAGCTCTCCTTTGCAACACCAAAGAGGAGCTTGTAAATAGGTTTTGCTTTGTTGTAGATGTTCTGTAAATAATAAAGGGTCTTTGTGTGTGTGTGTGTGTGCTGGCTCCTTCACCCTAACGTTCAATTGCTATCTCATTTTATGATTTGAGTTGTGACCTCCCACTTCCTGCATCCTGTTATGGATCCCAGGATGCTGAGTGACTTGGATGCTTGATGTGGGAAATCTTTTGGAGATCTCTGATGGACATCTGGGATTTATGCCTTCCATTAATCATTTCTCTTTTCTCTAACCATACTTCAATTTTACTGTATCTCTTTCCACTGAATACAGTCTTTTTTTTTTTAAGATTTTATTTATTTATTTGAGAGAAAGAGAGAGATAGGGAATGCACACTAGCTGGGCGATGAGGAGCACAGGGAGAGGGAGAAGCAAGCTCCCTGATAAGCAGGCAGCCCAATGGTGGGCTGGATCCCAGGACCCTGAGATCATGACCTGAGAGAAAGGCAGACACTTAACCGACTGAGCCACCCAGGAGCCCCTGGATACAGTCTTGAGTTTATCAATCAAGATGAAACATCCTCCCTTGACCAATGGTTGGCATAAGATCCAAATAAGTCAATCTGAATCTCCCTCCCTGAAAAATGAATCTTGAATACAATGCTACTGAGAATGAAGGTTGGAGATCATTCTTTCCTGATGCAGGCCTATTCCCTGTGAACAAGTCACTATAATTGACTTTAAAGTGGAATCAACATTTCATGCCACAATTTCATAAATAAATTTTAACTACCTTATTGAATATCATATGCTGAAAGAAATTTTGTAAAAATGTTATCTATGGGTTTTAACTAACACTTTAAAAATTTAATAGATCCCATCATTAAAATTTAAAACTTCTGCTCTGGAAAAAACATTGTCAAGAGAATTAGAAGATAAGCCACAGACTGGGAGAAAATGTTTGCCAAAGAAACATCTGATAAAGAACTGTTATCCAAAATATACAATGAATGAAAGTGAGGGGGAGGAGCAAGATGGCGGAGGAGTAGGAGACCTGGATTTCATCTGGTCCCAGGAATTCAGCTGGATAGGGATCAAACCATTCTGAACACCTACGAACTCAATAGGAGATTGAAGAAAAGAATAGCAGCAACTCTCTGAACAGAAAAGCGACCACTTTCTGGAAGGTAGGACATGCGGAGAAGTAAATCTGAGGTGATATTTGGGAGGATAGATGGTGGGGGAGGGGGCCTCCGTCGGCTGTTTCTGGCAAGTGATAGAGCAGCAGAACACAAAATTGGAACTTTTAGAAGTTGGCTCCACTGAGGGACGTCGCTCCAGTGGCTAAGCGGGAGGTGGAACCCTCGCGGGACAGTGTGGTCTCAGGACCCTCGGGGTCACAGAAAGACCGGGGGTGCCTGAGTGTGGCGCAAAGCTCCCAGGTATCGGAGCAGGGAAGTCGGCCGCAGGGATGGAGCCGAGGAGCGGGCTCTCAGCTCGCGGTTGCCATAAACGGGAATCCATGGCACAGTCGGGCCACTGCTCCTCCAGCAGGGACCCAACAAGCGGCAGATCCGGGGAGACTCCCCTTCCTCCCCCGGGAGGAGCGGCGCGGGAGCGCACCGAGGGATCTGCTGGGTTTGGAGACTCCACATGGGGTCATGTGCCAGAGATAGAAACGGTCGGTCACAGGCCGGGTGAGCACAGAGTGCGGCCGGAGACCAGGTAGAAGGGAGTGACTGACTGCTTTTCTCTGGGGGCACACTGAGTAGTGAGGCCCCGAGTTCTCAGCTCCTCTGGGGCGGAGATTGGGAGGCTGCCATTTTCACTCTCGTCCTCCAAAGCTGTACCAAAAGCTCGCAGGGAACAAAAGATCCCGAGAGCAAACCCGAGCAGATTACTTAGCCGAGACCTACAAGGGCGGGGCAATTCTGCCTCCAGCAAAGACATTTGGGACCACGGCAACAGGCCCCTCCCCCAGAAGATCAGCAAGAACAGCCCGCCAAGACCAAGTTTACAGATCAATGAGAATTGCAAAAATCCAGCGCTAGGGGAATACTGCACATAGAATTCATGGCTTCTTTACCATGACTCTTTAGTCTTTCAAAGTTAATTTTTTAAATTTTCTTTCTTTTTTTTTTTGAAATTTTCTTTTCCCCTTTTTCAACCAACATCTTATCAATACCTTTTTTAAAAAATCTTTTTTATTTTTCATTTTTAGAGTCATATTCTATCCCTTCATAGTAGTTAACCTTATTTTTGGTATATATATATATATATAAGTTGTTCTCTCTTTAAAATTTTGGGATACAGTTTCTTCTAACAGACC